GACAGTGATCAAAGTGGGAGAAATGCAGTAATTATAGAAGGGACAACAGTGACATTCTAGCTACTGTTATGGGATTTCGATAAAAATGGGGTATGTTGCATGGATTTGAAAGGGAAGATGCTGCTTGTAGGTGAGTGACTTCGGGGGGCTTCTGTAATTTTCGTAAGTTCACATAAGCACCCAATATTTAGGAAAGTTTGATGGTAGCATAATATTAATATATGGCTTAGCCTTGAGAATTGTATTTCACATTCCTTCAGCATGTTGTGGTTCATAACGTGCTGCACCACTTAATGAGCATTTTTTGGAGCACTAACATGGTAACTTGGGTGCTTATCTGAACTAAACTTATCTTTGAACTTTCTGAAGTTCACCCATCTCTAGAATCACCCTTCTAGTTTTAAGCATATCACCGTTGGTATTTCAGCAATCATAGTGAAAATATTCTAGGTAGATGCTTTTTGAATCTAAACTGTAAGCCACAATTCAAGTTAATTGTTTAAGTATGCTATTCTGGCAAATGCTCATCAAGAGGTGCAGCATAGCTCATAAATGCTGAAGGAATGTAAATCCTAATTAAGATTTTAATTATTTTTTTTAAAAAAAAGCTCCCCCTTCATCACCATAGTTTAATACATGTTGTGAATATATTTCCCATCTTATTTTTTAATATTATAGGCAAAATGCTAGGTTTTATTTGAGGCTTTTATCAGTGTTTGAAATGTTAAGAACAGCACAAGTGGATCTTTGCTCATAATACTGAGTTTTCGTTGTGCTGTACTGTTACCATTTTGTGATGATGATGCTATAGGATGCTTAGATATTACATAATTTGAAATGCCTATATGTATCTCTGCATGACATGACAGAAAGAGGCTCCATCATTGATAACACATAGGCAAAAAGAAGGTAATTTGATTTGCTGTTTTTTTTCTCTAGATGGGTTCAGCTTTGTTTAATTTACTGCAAATACAAGCATCCGAATTCCAAACTGAAGTCATGGAGCCCTAAGATACACCGTTACAGGTTGTCATCTATCTTGTCTTGATCTTGTGAAAGGCCTCAGCTTCAGTTTATGTTTCCTCAATTTTTGAAACACTTTCCCTTGTTTCCCTTAAAAAATTAATAGTTTTTAAATCCACACAGTCAGAGGCTGAATTAGGAGTCATTGATTAATTTTCACATTATTCTTTGTTTTCTTAGTTTCAGTAAATTGTTCACACAAATTTGATGTTGGAAAAGGATAAACCTCATGCAGGGTCCCCAGTGAAGGAAAGGCTAACCTTAAGAGTCATCATATGTTGTTGCATGGGGGTGTGTGTGTGTATGAGAAAAGAAGTAGTGTAGCTTCAAATAGTGGTTCTGGGCTGACCTTTCCAGGGCAGTACTTTATATGTTTTTCAGACCAACTTATTAAAAACAGCTTTTTAGAGATGTTTCTGATAGGATAGTGTTAATAAGAAAAAAACTTAAATCAATAACTGTGAACCTAAGTAGTACCAGACGTAGAATTGATCTGGAGTAAACTTTATGCACCCTAATAAAATCATCTGCAAATAAAAAGCCATGCAGCTATATATTCAGTATATTTCCATTTTCAGTAACAGTACAGATGGATTTTCCACTTTTTATTTAAGATAGCTGCCTTGCTTTCAAATACCTATTGATGTTATTTTTCATTTCATATACAGGGTGATGGAGATCATCCTTTAAATTCTACTCTTTCTTTTAAATGTCATACGGCAGGGGGAAGTAAATTATCTTTTTAATTAGAGTGATTAAATTTAAATGAAATCATAAAAATAATTCCTGTTTTGTTTTTACTATAAATTATTTCTAGAAAATGATACATTGTGTTATTTTGTTTAATAAATCCTCAGAGTTTCCCATAGTTTTCTGTAAACAAATATTCTGTTGATTTGGGGTTGTTGAATGTCATCATGGGCTCCTTTCTAATTTTAAGCAGAGTTTTTTGCTTAAATATTAATGGTAGTAATAGCCCATAATAATTTTACATTGCATTACTCATTTTGCCTTTAGGGATTTACTGAGGCAAACTCCTTCTGAAATTAATGGCAGAATAAGGACTACCAGGACATAATAATACATAGTTTTTATGTACTGTTTTTAATCCTGTTTCCCAGAGCAATTCAGGAATAAGGAAAATATTTTCCTCATTTCATGAAGTAGGGAGGTAAGCTGACTTGCCTAAAATCCACCTGCAAGCAAATGGATGAATAAGAGTTTGAGAGTGCTGTATCCATTAATTCATGCTGTAGAAATTAATTCAATTTCTACTTTGAAATTACAAAGTATTAGGAGATGTTAATTACGAAAATGAATTTGGAGGAGTATAGCACTGCAAAGCAGCTTGAGTACACGGAAAGAATGTTTCCAATTGACAAGAAAATGCTAAATACTCTTCCTGGCAATGAAATACATGGTTTCATTATTACTTCCCCTCTTATATTAAAGTATAAAAGATGTACTTCTGCAGATGTAGAAATTTCTATAGAAAGTGAAATTCTGTAAGTAATCCCTGGAATATGAACCAGAATTCTGGATTCAAATAATGCTGAAATATAAATGTTTTCAAATTCCAGACTGTGATTTAGTTCCGGCATTTTGCTTGTGCTTTTGTATTGGACTGATTGAAATCTTTTTTACTCAATGCACTTTAATTTTGAGCTTTTCAGGGCATTGATCACAGTTATTAATTTAAATGTGAACTTGATGCAAAATAAATGGTGGGGTCACAAGAAGAATTTTATCATAGCCTGACACTTTCAAATACAGTTTAAAACACATATGAAGTAAATGAGCAAGAATATTGTATTAAAAACAAGTAAGACAGGATTATGATAGACATATCTCATATGGTGTTTAAAGGAAAGCAATTTTATATTTTAAACTGGGAAATCAATACTAGATTGAACTTTGGATTCTGGTTGATTTAAATCTTAAGGTTTTAATTTAAAGATGAATTTTGAAGCAACTTAATGTTTGTAAAATTTATAAGTTTAATTAGAGAGTTTTCAGTAGTGTTTGTGTCATCTTCTGTGCTTTCCGTATTCTGTATGATTTTCTAAATCATATATACCCTTTGTGATTGTGTTTCTGTGTGAAAATACTGTCATATGAGTGGCAAAGGTGTCTTATGCAGATATTTAAATAAATGCTTCTAATGTTTTGATACTTAAGTGAACAGTAAATTGTAACTTGAAAAGTAAAATGGGTTTTTACATTGACGTTAAACATGACAATATTTCTATGAAAAAGAGACTCAAGAGTATCAATTAATTTAATACATAATTCTCTTTTGTAGAGCCATCAGCCAAATAGGAGTTGGTGTGTCATTTAATATAACTAAATAACCTAGCTCATATTGTTAAGAATGGGATGGAAACTCCAAAAAGAGTCAGAAATCATTTTTCATTGTTTCAGACCATTCAAATATGGTGTGTCTTTTAACAGTTTTCTTTTTTTTAAAGAAGTGCAACTTCCATCAATAGAGTGACTAAATGTACTGTTGCAATATTGAGGCTGATACAATGCTCCTGCTGATTCTAAACTTAGAACAGAATTTTGCATGCAAGTCTACCTCTAAAACATCATTAATCAAGAAAAAGTTTGTACTTTTGAACTGTTGCTGCAGCTACTAGTGAACATGTATAAATGCATTTATATATGCAATACAGTGCAAGAAATGTGAATCTTAGCCTATAATTTAAAGTTGCAATTGTTGAGATGTATAGAAAACAGCGAGGTGCAAGATACATATTCATTTTCTCAGAGAAACAAAGAATATTATCGGGGGAATCTAATAGCTTTATTTCACTCATAGTGTCTTTTCCGTTTTGCTCCTTGTGCAAAGATTCAATCACAGAATCTACATGAGAATCACTTGTGATTTTTGATATATGATGTCAGTCAACTGTTCAATAAAATGTAATAGTAGTGAATATCATACTATCATTTTAAAAAACTCTGAGTGTTTGTCTTTCACATTTAAAAAATACTTTGAAAATGGAAAATATATATAAGCAAGTTGTGAACTTTTTGTACAGATCTCGGAATAACAACAAAGATTATCATACAAGAAAGTTGTTACAAAAACAAATAATCTTTAATTCCGTTCTGCAAACACAGTCCAATCCAAGGGCAACTGGAAAGACTAGGAAGATTTCCAAAGTGCTCAGCCAACTTTGGATCATGTCCCACATTATGAATTTCAATCTTAGATAGTTTTAATAATGAACCACTAATGCCAATAAAACTGGCTTAATTTAGATGAGTGTGCAAAAACAAATGAGAAAAAATGTAGGAAAAAAAGATTATTTGAAGAACTGTGTTTATTTAATACTGACAGTATAAGGAATTAGGGTAGTTAAATCATCTATGAAATATCACCTACAAATCTAAAAAGCCTAAAGGAAATATTTTGGTATGTAGCTCAATAATACTAAATACACATGTTCTGTTTTAGCATATGTTACAGAAGAAGAGTGCAAGTAGTCAGAGCTCAGAAACTTCTTAGTTTAACTAATGGAAACAAAATGTTGCTGTTTCATATTTGAGAATTATTAGTTTCCTTTTACCATGAAATTTTGAGGTGTATAAGTACAGAAAGTGAGATATGCTAGGACATCCAAAGACTGCTTTTAAAACAGCATCAAAATATAGGAAGCACATTATTAGACTAATTAGAAAAAAAACCCCACAACCTATGACAAAACACTTCCATGGAAGCTATGAAAAACGCATTTTTCAGTCTACAATTTGATACTTCCAGATTTTTTGTGGCAAAATATTCTTATGTAAAATATGGTGGCTTTGAAATAGATCCAGAATATTTTGCAGCCCTCTATGTATTTATTTCTCTAACTCTTTTTCTTATTGTCTCTGTTCAAAAGAAATTTGTGTATACCAGTATTTGTAAGAAAACTGGAAACAATTTTAGGCTGTTACTCTGAACAACTTGCTTCTGCCTTCTTTCCTAGGAAGTGTGTAGAGAGCTGTGGTGTCTCAGCAAAAGTAACCGCTGTGTTACCAACAGCATTCCAGCAGCTGAAGGTACTCTTTGCCAAACAGGGAGCATAGAGAAGGGGGTGAGTACAAATAATTTATTGTTTCAGCAGTACACAGAGGAATAAAGAACTAGAAAACAGTTCCTTATGAGCTACTGTGAGAGTGCAAAAAAAAGGTATTAGTTCAGAATACATCTGTATCCTTTAATGATTACTTGATATATCTAGTTAATAAATATATTAAGTAATCATTAAAGGATACCAACATAAAATTCTAAGCCAGACTCAAAAAAAGACTTTTTTTTCCTGAGTAACTTCTGTAAAAATTTTATTACTTTCATCTTTCTTAAATTTTACAGCACTCTGTTATGAAGGACTGTTGTAACTCTACATATGTAATGGACTTTTGAAAAAGATCTGATATCTTTTATTTTATTAGAAGATAAAAGAATCTTTATTCCTTCAGATTTAAGCAGAATCATATATGCATATAAAAAAATCCATAATAGAATGATTTCTTAAAAAGCCATATTTCTCAGTGACCATTCTATTTTGACTTTTAGCCGTAAAGGACTTTGGTGTGCAATCTGAGATCTAAGTACATGAAGTCAACACTGGAGTGGATAAGCTTGCCCTTTTTTTTTGTTTAATAGAGTTTGTATATACGTCTGTGCAGACATATGAATTGTGATTTTAAAAGGTTAAATGTGGCTCAGTAGTTTAGGAAGGAGAACCGAAAATTATTTCCACACTAAGAAAACTAAAAAGACTAAAACTAAAAGAGTAGAATATATGCAGATCAAGAAAATTTCCATGTCCATTTGTTAAGATACACAATACCTTTTATGCAGATTTGTTCAGAGGGACAAGTTGACAAGAACTTACTATATAAAACAATTTCCATTAATTCTCTTGAGAATTGCTGCCTCTGTCCTTAGGATTTACTGCACCAGACTGCTTTTCTCCCTGCCCCCGACAATGACTACTGTCATCTATTCTGTGTTCTGACTCTTGCCATTCTAGCTGGGCTAGTTTCAACAGAGATTACACTGCGTTTTGACTTGCAATCTGATGTTTAAATAAAGAGAATGAAAGCTTTTGGGCAGCTGTCACAGTTTATTAATCCTTGCTGACGGCTTCATTCAGGGCCCTTGACCTAGTGCCATTCTGATGGCTTTTCCATGCTGAGTTTGGAAATATTGGTAAACCATGTTAAATAAATTTGCTGAAGGGGTCATTTAAAAATGTACTGCTTATAGTTAGCCAATAAAAATAGAGACCTTCATATTTTAACAAAACTGTTACCTTTTATTAGAGTAATAGAAAATGCAAGGAGACTTATTCTTAAATCAACAGTCTAGGTTTATTTTGGAATCACCACTCGTTGTCAATGACAAGGAACAATTTACTTCAAATTATATTTTTTTAAACCATGAGAGTACAATACAAAATTCAAGATGCTTTAAGACACTGTTGCTGTGTCCAGTTTCCAGAGGCTTTAATCACTTTGCTCTATACAAAACATGTCTTCCAGTCATCAGTGTCTTACTTCATCATTAGATACTAGAGAAAGAAAAGGGAGAAAATTGGTATTGTTTTACAAGCATAAACTGACCATGCCTTTAAACAGCAGAGAATTGTATCTATAAATTGTGACTTCAAAGGTTCTTTCCAAATTAATAGTTCCTGATAGAAAAAAAAAAAATCAAAACATAAAACACAAGTTCTTTCCGAATATGTAGTTCTCTTTACCACATGCTAAAGAGAAAATAATAGCTCACAATTCTATAACACTTTATTATTACAGTAATAATAACATTTATATTGCAGTCACGCCTATAAGCCACAACCAAATTAGGGCCTATTTGGCTGGGCTTTTCCAAATATATAGTAAATGGAGCATTCCTTGCTTCAAAAGCCTAACAAGATCCTAGAGTACTTTATCATATTTGTAGGATCTGTGTCTGCTTTAGTTACACTGGCGTAAATTCTATGTAACCATTAACTTGGAACAAAACTTGATGCAATAATATCTTATAGGCAGAGTTAGGAGGATTTCCATAATTAAAATTGCCTAACACTTTATTCTAAGACCTTCTGTTCAGTTGCTTATATAAACCTGCAAAACCTTATCTCTTTGGGTTGAAATTTTCCATCGTAGATATCTGACTAAGCCTGAAAGTTTTCAGAGTGTTTTCCATAAAAAGCTCTTCAGCTGTTTCTGCATGCAAGGAAGAAGAATAGTGTGTTGTTTTGCTACTGACAGAACCTGTACGATCTGTCACATTTTGAAGTTTTAATACCTTCATGCTTTGATGAAAGCGCTTATGTATTAGCTGAGGTCAGAAAGGTTCCCCTTTTTTCCTATTCCTGTAATAATCAGTTCAAAAACAGATGTGTCCCCTCTACTGATACACCCTTACAGATGAATTGTGAAAGTGAACTAGCTGGTGCATTTAAAAAGACACTGCTTGAGAGATGTTGCAAATAAAACAAGGAGAGGAAACTGATAGAAATCTGTGTTTTTGTCTTTAAAATTCAAGTAAGAAACATAACTTTTTATAGGATCTTCAGTCCCTGTGTGTGCCAGGGCTATAAACAAGTGGCAAATGTGTAAAAAGTGAAAAAACAGCATGTTGAAAGAAAAATTTATAAAGCTGGATTATCTGGTGGTTAAAATTAAAGTTATTTTTGGACATCAAATTTCCTAGCAAAATAATTGTAGAAGCACTGATTGAAAATCCATATCATTATAAATCTCTTAGTTTGGTTAAAGACTTCTCACATTATTTACAGAGGTAAAACTTTGTGCACGTTTTATATGCCAGTATTTTAATGCATTGCCCCAGTCTTTCTAATTGAATTAACTGAGAGTTACTTCTCAGTTGGAGAAAAGAATAAGGTTTCATTTCTAAAACTTTCATGAAGAGTTGTTCTTTTCAAAATAGATGACATCTTCTCTTTTTTTTTTCATGTACTGGTAACTCGGTAGTCCCTACCTCATTCCTGACAGCAGGTGGGGTTGCTGTTATTCATGGAGGAAACGCTTCTTTTGTCACTGCATAAGTAATGAGGGTTTGGCCATTTTGAATTACTCTGGAAGAGATTTTATGCATCACTAGCCTCTGTTGAAAGATTAACTTTCAGTTAAAAATATCAGCCAACATGAGCAGCAGTAAGTCAGCAGGATTAATTTCATTGGAGGGGAAAAATCAGCATTGAAAGAGGGGTAATATGGGAAGTATAAGAAACGAATGTTTGGATGGTAGAGGAAATTGCAGGGATTTTATTCTGCGCTGGAAAATAAAGCCGATAAAATGCACCAGATTTATGCATGTTCACAATAAGGTAGAGGTGTGACTATTTGCATGTTCAGTTTGCACATGTGATATTTTGGGGGTTAACTTTAAACTCAGAATTTCCTTTCCAAGTTTATGAACTTGGGCTTTAAAGTGTTGATAATATTTTTATAATGTCCTGCTAATCCAAATTATTAGCATGTATTTTTCCTCCTAGCAGCATTTTAATTTTTAGCTTGTGACTCTAGCACTAGATAACTGTGCAATCCTGTGGCTTCGTTAATAAAGTTCTATAAAGGGATTATTGTCTTCAGTGTAGGTAATCATTGCCACTTTTTAGTAATTATTTGATATCACTGTAATGAAGAATAAAAAAAACAGAAAAATTGGATGTCTCATATATACTTCACATAAATACCATTTTCCCCACTGTAAATGTACCATTAGAGGCATTGCAAAACACTGCCATATATGGATATACTTACACATGTGGATCTAACTAGCTCGAAATACATCAGTTTACTTTATGGACTGCATTATGTGCTGTACAGACATTCTAATAGTCTAGATTTAAGAGACACCCCGCACGAGGGTTAAGTTCCTCTAACAGGTACTCGTTTATTCTCATAGACCTTAGAGTTGAAAATTTATTGCGAGTGCAAGAAAGATGAGTGGTCATTTCCTAAGTAAAGCTCCATGAAACATTGTGTCCATGATGAGTTTATTGATTTATTTTGCTTTTTTCTGTTAGAAAGGCAATGCATTTTGAGCTTGAAATTTAAATTTTCTGCTTTGTATGTTTTTTGTAGGCACACATTAATCCTCCCTTTTATTTCCCTGTTAGTAGATAAGATATTATGAACAGAAATTTGCTGGGTTGCAATAGCTGTCCTTTAAAACAGTTTCAGGAATAGCATGTACAGACAAACAAGAAGTCCTGAGGAGTAAAAATGTTTTGAGAGAAGAAACCATGATGAATGTGATTAGAAAAATTAAGAAATCCTTGACTAGCACAATGTAATCATTGTTCATGTCAAACTGCCTTTTTTTTTTTTCCTGAATAATAGCAGAAGGTTAAATTCTCTGTTCACTTGTTTTTGTAGAAATCTGGAATAATTCAGGTCATTCTTTAGCTCTTGAGACCAGAAATCATCCCATACACATTGTTGGGACTGAGGTTTTAGGTGAGCCTTAGGACTTGGGAAAGAAAAAACTTGCCTTTTCAGTGCCAGCAGATATAAACTCAAAACTGAGTCTGTCAGTGCGTATGGGCTAGACAAGTGTGCTTGTCCAATATCTTCTGTGCCTGTCTCAGTTTGTTTTGTCGAAGTCATAACGATGTTTTTGGGCACACAAATTATCTGGGCTTCTTTCTGGAAAAGGTTGATGTTGTGTCTCTTATTGCTTAAAGGCTCAGAAGTCTTATGGATACCTACTTTTTGGAAGTCAAATGGGCAGAGCAAGCTCAGAGTAAACCTGCAGCCACGCTCTACGCTGTGGCCTAACCCACTGATAACAGGATGGACGTAACCAATTTAGAACTACTCTGTATTTTCAATGACGTAAAAGACACCAGAATGTGGTTGAAACTATGGGTTCCAGGATTATTTCTGAGAGATTTAAAAAAAGATTTCTGATATACTACACAAAAATTTATTATAGCACTCACCTACTGTTGTTAACGTCTGTAGATTTGGTTGTCTGGTGTAGGTAGCAATATTGCAAAGGTTCAGTTACTGCATGAAGACACGTACTCTGCCCCTGAACAAATGGCCAGGCACTGTATGAAGTGATTTTCTGTACTCTAACACCTCACTTCTGCTTTTGTTATGTCTGTAGTGTTAGTATAGAAAAAGTACAGCTACAAATTCTTCTTCCATTAGAACCATTTCCGAATTTTCTTTTTAAAAGCTTAAAAATTTTTTCTTAAAAATTCTGGAGTGGGGAGTTTTTCATTTTGTGTAACGAAGCGAAGCTTCTGTGCGAATCATAACTGGAGGGTGCTTTATTAAAGTAACCTTGAAGATGTGTCTTGGTGTGTAAAAGAATGCGACTAATTTGCAGTTTCCTTAATATGAAGCATTAAGAAGGATGCATGGAGAAGAAGGAAAATCTTTATTTTAAGCTCAGTTGAACTTCTGGTATGTATTAGCAATTTATACTGCTGGATTTAGTGAAGACAAATAACGAATCACAAACGGCCTCACCAAAGTCTAAACATGGCTAGAAAAATTGAAATCCTTGTCTTGTTATCTATACAGCAAATGCTAATGCCTCTACTTGGTCATTGCTTGACCTGTGTATTTTTGTGCCCTGATAACTCTATCAGCCTGGAAGCTAATTTTGTGCTTTTTTTTCTTATGAAATCTTTCAGTGGTGTTACCAGGGGGAGTGTGTACCTTTTGGCACTTGGCCCCAGAGCATAGACGGAGACTGGGGTCCATGGTCAATCTGGGGAGAGTGCAGCAGGACCTGTGGGGGAGGCGTCTCCTCGTCTATAAGACACTGTGACAGTCCAGCGTAAGTAGCTAAAGTAAGCCAGAGTCAACAAAAAGACACACTTGGAATTTGTTCAAAACTGTAGTTTCATATGTTATCTGTAAAAAATGTTTTGCTAGCGTACCAACATTTGTCTTTAATATAGCAGACAGAAACAGCTACACAAGAGGAGCTCACTAGATATACATTTTTTACTGTAACTATTTTGCATGCACTGTAAAGATAGCTAGATCTGTATTTGGTAGTAACCAGAGAAGTTTTCTTTCTGAAGCTTATTGTTCATGCAAAATATACTTAAATTATGTCTTAGATTTCTTACTTATTAAAATATGTTTTGCCTATGATGCTTGTTAGGGTATAACTATTGTCAGTTATATATTGAAAAAGCTACACAGAATATCTGAAAGATATTGACATAACGCTTTTTACATATAAAATGCAAATAATATTTGTGTGCATAAAATACATTTATGCCCTATGACATCCAACGCTTAGTTGTGACTTCCCACTGACTCTTAAAACAATTCAGCTACTTCTCTCTCTGCTACTACCTCTTGGTCCATCTGCTCTCAAGTGGGGCCAGCTTCTCCACTACAACTTGGTCTGTTTTGTGTATCCGTACTGGTCCTGTCATCTCTGTCTGCTTCCCAATGTCCTCAACAGTGTTCCAGAGAAGGCCTCTCAGGTAAGTACTTTCTGTCATTAACACTTTTCAAATCAGAAACACGTATTTATTTCCTTTCTGTCCTTTGCTGAATGAATAACTACTAATTTTTTTTTCTTTTTCTGTTGCTGCTTGCCCTGTACAGGTTACCTCATCACAGCTATAGGTCTTTGCAGAAGGATATTGCCCATTATTAATTTCAAAAATTACTTTCCTGCAAAATATCAGGCTTTTTTTCCTGTTTTTTTCCCTCATAATCATTCTGGAACTTCTGTCACTCCTTCCTTACCTTTTTCTCTCTATGTGCTCGCTAGTATTCTCTGTACATTGAGGATCTTTGTTGCTTGGAGCCATGTTTTCTAAGCCAGGCTTGCACTTCACTCTGCTGTACAGACATTGCTGTCTAAGGTGCTCTGTGTATGTACTAGCGTTTAGCAATAATTACCAATCAAATTTGGCAAATACCACTAATTATTGAATACATTCAAAATCAAAAATTATCCATATACATAGATAATATGGCAGACTGTGTTGCTGAGAGATTAAATACTACTCTCTTTTTCACACGGGTAGAAGGAGCGCAAATACTAGCTAAAAGTCTGTTCAAAGCATCAGTAACTTCCTAGGATTTTTAACTGTTATTGTCTATCTGTATATCAATGATTATGTTGAAAGACAGTTGGATCTTAGATTCTTTACAGTACAGCAAGCAAGTGCAATTGCAATATTTTGATATCTCTGTAAGGAAAATATTCCCCTCAGTTTATTAATTTATACGAGTGTTTTAGTTTAATGTTGTCTGCCTTAATATCTGTAACATGCAGAATCATTCTGATTTTCATTTTGGCCAGTTATACATTCTTTACTATAGCAAAGCAACAAGCATTTTTCCTTCCTGCTTTCATGTTATGATCAAAGAACTGGTATATGGTTAATCTTTAAGTTGGTTCAATGGTTCATTATTTGACCTCTTTGGAGGAAGATAGGTAAGATTCTTGAAGATTCTGGGACCTTTAAGAGCAATTTTTGGCTTAATCACGCCAAAAGAAACCTGCTTGGTCTGGAGTTGCTTCAGATTTAATAATGCATAATTTAAATCAGAATCATACTTTTGAACTAGAAAATGCAGTCTTTGCTACGGGCAAAGCAATTTAGCAGGCAGTGTTTCTGCATTTTGTTGTATTTTCAAATGCAATATGAGAAGATTTAAAAAAAAGATTGTTTACACATGTTTCATTCTAGTTTAATAGAGCAAGAAAGTAATTAAAAGCAATACAATTTTGTATTCAAATACAGTTGAAAAGTAACTTGATTTTGTAGTTTGGATTTTATTCAAATTGAGTAAGTAGTTTGTATATATCTATATATATATAGTGTGTGTGTATATATATATATATACACACACAAAATAAGCAAAGATGTTAAGATATTGAGTTCCGTTTTGAATCTGTTCCAATTCAAGTCAATTCTAAAATACTCGTTTAATAAAGTGTATAAAAATCTCATCTTGAAACATTCTGTGGTTGTACATGTGTCCATATTTATTTATATGTTATGTAATATATATCTTGTGAACTTGTAGCTATACTAATGATTATATGAACACTTGTAATGAACTTGTGTTTTTACTAATACAATGCATTAAATGTGTTTTTGCAGGCCTTCAGGAGGAGGAAAATATTGTCTTGGAGAAAGGAAACGATATCGCTCCTGTAATACTGATGTAAGTAAATTTTGTTTCACTATCAAAGTATAATCAAATTTTCTGTTTTTCTTTTTGCCATCAATAGATGCATTTCAGTTAGAAAAAAGATTGATGAAAACTGTGAATTTTGCATTTTATTGGCAAATCGTCCTGCTGGACACCTCTGTGCTGCAGGGTCCCTACCTATCTACTGCATGTCAGGGTCCCCGTCTCAATATTATGCCCAGCTGCAGGCTTCACACTAAGGCCTAGAATGAGTTCAACTTTGGTGTCCACGATTAAGGTGATCACATGCGTTCCCATGCCCCATCAGACCAAAGGTCTGTCTAGCCCAGTGTCTTGTATCCTAACCATGGTGCTTAGGGGAAGATTATAAAAGTTATGTCAGTCAAGGCATGATTTTTCTAAGGGTAAGCCTTAAAAGCTTCCAGAAACCAAGTGTTTAAACACTTCTTGGACTTGGCATTTTATCTGCACCATCCTATCATCTCTCCCATTGTATCTAGACTGATATTTTTTGTTACACAGTCTTCTGAAGTATTCTGTGAAATGTACTACTTAGGTGTGATTTAAACCTCCTGTGTGGCTGTCAGGTATTTACTGGTTCTTGTTATCAAAATGATTGTGCTTTTAGCTTCATTTTAGAGCCAAGTTCAATGAGCTGCTACCGAGATGAGTGCAGCAGTGTAGACAGCCACATACACAAAATCAAGTTATAAGTCAAAATTATAAATTGAAAAAAGTTAAAAATTGAACCACGTAAAAGTATTCAGCAATATAGTGAGCTTTCAAGTCAGCATAGCATTAACATTTTTTTTTGGTCAGATTTGTTTCTATTTGTTTCTAAAAACAAGACAGTTCAAGGGGAGAAAATGATATTGAAAAAGAGCATTAATTGAAAAGGACTGGAATTTTCTAGGTTACAGTTTGCCTGATATCCTTCCAGGAGCGAACTGATGTACACAAATGCATTGTGTGTCAGCTGTGTATCTTCTCATACAGTTCGAAAAATATTATTTCTCAAAACAGCTCTGTTTCAAGAAACGAGAACATTAATTAGTAAAGATAGTTCTGAACTACTATTTAGGGAATTACTCATCATCTTATATAGTTGATGTTCCTATTTAAGTGTAGTAGTTGATCTTTTTTGAACTCCATCCACTGGTCTGTTTCAAAACACTGCTTAAGTATGTCAAAAGCCTTTAACATTATGGCCTGATATTCCAATGCACTTGTTTCCTACCTATACTCACTTCAGTCAATAATTTAAATAAGAAACTGGAAACTTGCATTTCATTTCAAAACAAGCAGACTGACTCAGACCAGACAGTTTAGAAGTGACATTGTTATGGTTTTACTGTGAATCTTTTTTTTTGACATACCTTTAGGATATGGCTTTTCTGTGTATAAACATACTATGACTGACAAGTTTAAATTTACTGTCTTAATGGTTATAATGGTTGTAGTCTATTTCTTTTATAATGCTTTTTGAAGCTCTAAGTGAATAAGAATTGCTGAGGCTAGTAGATTTTATTATGATGGTCCTTATTGTTTGACATTTTTAATGGAATGGTATGTTTGATTAATGTAAGTGTTAAGAGCATGCAGATCTGTCATTGTTTTTATGAGAAATGTGTTATTTGTATATCTCTCCTGTTGAGCTTTTTTGCAGTGTCGACATTCATTGCCCATCTGTAATTTTAAAAGTAGCACTCCCTAAAGCTCCTACTATTCATTAAAAAAGTGCCTTCATTTTGACTTCATTTGTCTTTCACAGATCAGTTAGTTCTGTTGCCCTTTCTTGTGACCATTTTCATTCCTTGGAAGCAGTGCACACACTCCTACTAGGCGTATTTCTCATCAAAGGCTTTCAAAGCCATATATGACTTCTTAATTCAAAAGGCATCTGCTAATAGAAACATTGAGATCAGCAGAAAATAACATTAACTGATGAGTTCTAGAAACAAAGGGTGATAGAAAGAACACAATCATCAGAAACTTATTTTCTAATACCAACCTCTCTGGCTCTTTCAAAATATACATATTTTTGCAAGCCAAGTTCCTCTATTGAAAAAAAATGCTTGCAAGCATTGCAAAATAACAACTTAAAATCACTCATTATCTACTTAAAATATTTATAAAATCTGAAGCTTAATCTGGTACGTATCTAAAACAGTTAAGAATCTCCTAACTTTTTCTAAAACGATGAAAAAGGTTCTGTGAAGGATTTATACATACGAAAGTGGGTACATACACATATCTTCAGAAGATTCCTTTTCTTGTGCCTTTTCTCTCAACAGGATGTGGACAAATGAAATTAGTTCATTTATGAATACACTCACAGACATTTTTGATTGCTGTCATAATTCTTAATATTTTCAAAAGTTTGTTTTTTCGTCTGAGAAGCTACCTGTAGGAACAGAAGCTGAATCTCACAGAGAATCTCATTCTCTGTGATATACAGTATAGTCCTTTGTTGATGAGAAATCTCATGACTTCAATTACGTGTAGATATGGAAATAATGATCCTTCTTTCTTATTTTTATATTTTATTGTGTTATTCTAATGTAACTACCTCAAAAGAGGTTTTGATGATTTTTGAAGGGTGTGCTGGTGGTTTAATAACCTTTTAAGGGTAGCTTCATGCAGTTTAAATATCAGCCTTGTGAGTCAGTATCTAAGCACTTGGGATTGAAGAATGGGATGTCGTGACCAATTTTCGATTTAGACTCAAAACTTTGAGATGTCAGGATTGATCCTTCTCCTGCTTGGAGCAGGTGATGCAGAGATGAATCTAATTGATGATACCAATTTAAAAAGGCAAGATTATGGAAGTTTATTTTGTTTTTTTCAAAAATTGTTATTTTCGGGCAATTTTTTATTCTCTTATAATCCAACAGATTATAGTATTAAAAATAATAACCATTCCATTGTTTCGTGATAAATATATTCAAAATGGATTTCGATTAGAAAGGATAGAAGAGTGTTTTATAGAGAAAATTTTAAGTTGCAAGGCTCTCCAGCATCCAAGAATGTTCAGTGTTTTGGTATATAATGCACCAGTTCTAAATCTGAAGAAAATTTCTGTAATTTTGAATCATAGTGCAATGGGCTGCGTATGACAGAAACTTGATTAATGCATGTTGGGAGTTATAATTATTATGTTAATATTTGCATTGTGCGGTACATTTTTACTGTGAATGTCTATATGGGCCCTTTTGCTTGAATGCAGTTCAGATTCCTGAACAGCGCTAACTGGTTAGATATACAGGAAGACTGTGCCATAAATGGACTCCTCTATTGCTCATATAATAATAATATTAACAACTACAATTTGTGTCAAACAAGTTTTCTCTTTGAGTCTAAAAATTACTTTAATCTGTATTTCAAATAATTAGTCTGATGAAGCTTACACTTACAACAGCTAATTAAGCATTGATTACAATGTTTAATATGCTATTTGAATACTTCGAGTATTCAAAGTTAGCTGCTGTTACTACTTCTAAACTAAACCTACAGGTCAAAAATGTAGGAAAAAAAGCAGAGAGTTCAGTTTCTTCTGTAATTCTCTTCTGAGATGCATTTTGTGTGTGTCTACCTTTATTCTAAATAAGGAAGCTATCTCCTAGATTTATAACTGGTCATGAAAAGTAGTGACAATTTAAATGACAGCAGTTTTGATTGCCCTTGGATACTACCAATAATCAGGACCAAATATTATATCTGATCTCTTACTCTCATACTCCACCTTAAACAGTGATTTTTTTTCCAAAGCTTCATGTAAACAAAGGTGATAGTAGGCAGCAGCTCTCTAAAAAGTGCTTTCGTTTTGATTATGTCTGAAAAACAGATCTCAATATAGCTGTAACAACTGAACTTGGAGCTCTTAACAAAATGATTTTTGTGTTTTAATTTTTCAGCTGCTTTTTTATGTGTGTTTATAAGAAGATATCTGATGGATTGATTACAAAGAGTATTTTCGAAGTATTTTGACTGTTGAGTTACCTGGATATGGTTGTAACACTTAACTTTGTTTAAATTACTTCAGTTATCTCATGCATGATGAAGATTACAAAATGGATACTTCAATCTGAGCACCAATTGAATAGAAGTAAAGCAAGTGTCAGAATCACTAAATAAAGCCACAAAACAAAGCAAGGAATCACTAGACTGGTCTCTTGCGCTGATTTATTACAAGAAATTAATCTTTTATTGTTATGATTTTAGCCATGTCCTTCAGGGGCCCGTGATTTTCGAGAAAAACAATGTGCAGATTTTGATAATATGCCTTTCCGGGGAAAGTACTATCACTGGAAACCCTACACTGGAGGTAACGTGTAGCTTTGCAATTATACTAACATACTTGCTCTTTGAAGTCCTGTGAATATTGTCTAGATAGTAACACCTGACAATGTAATTTTAATTGGTGTACTGTGAGCCATGTTGCTAACCTTGCATTTTTATCAATAGTTGAAAACATTACAGAAGGACCATCTTGGTATTTTGGTAACGTTTTGTTTCACTGTGAAAGGGAGTGAGCATTTTTTTACGGTTTTACCTTAAAATATGAAACCTTTTTCAATCTACAGTCACAGTAGAGTGCCTTTGATGATGCAGTGATGAGTTCATTATAAAAATCATGTTGAAATTCTTATCTAAGGTGGAAGTGTGAGGAAAAGGAAAAAAGAGAAATAGCATTTACCAAAGGGTAAAAGGATTACTTCAACTATTGAGGTAAAAATAATTGCAATGTGCAGGAAAGGATATTTTGAAGCAGGGGAGACTATTGTAATTTTTTTTGTTTTCTTTGGGAGACTTTAATCAAGTTGCATGGAGTTTTTATTGACTTTTGGAGTTTGGAAGTTGCCCTTTGATGTTGTCTTTTTATGTTCTAAACTGTGCATGAATAAGTCCGTGGCCTGCTTTGAATTTTCATATTTAATTGAGTTGAATGATTTTATACTTAGTTTTGTAGATTGAGCCCCAAAAGGACTGTTGTGATCATCTGGCCTGACTTGTAGCATAATTAAAGTTACAAGACTAGATTTCTACTGAAATAGAATCTGATTATGGTTTTTGAAATTTAAACTGTCATATTATTAGAATTACTTTTATTTTTCATGTTTTTCAAATGGTGATGTGGTGTCTGTTATTTTAAATTGTTCAATAATCATTAGGATTGTATTAACATCATGGAATCATTATGGAGCCATCCAACCTTGACATATCTTACTATGAGCTGAAATAATCTTTTTTGCTAGAAAGAAGGGTCAAGTAGAGAAATCAATAACGGGAAAGCAAATAAAGTATGTACTTTATATATGTCAGGTATGAGATAAGATTATGAATTTCAGACCAGATGATATATCTACTTTTCATTATTAACTTTCCAAGAATTCTCTTTTTTTTCTTTGCTTTCCTTGTCTAGGTGGGGTTAAACCATGCGCGTTAAACTGCTTGGCCGAAGGTTATAATTTTTACACTGAACGTGCTCCTGCAGTAATAGATGGGACTCAGTGCAATGCTGATTCACTGGATATCTGTATAAATGGAGAATGCAAGGTTACGTATGTTTTATAAAATATTTAAGAATTAGTGCATGTTTGGTATTTGTTGTCATTCCTTCTACATTTTGTACTGGTACTCACTTGTTACCTACATGAAACAAGCTTGTTTAAAAGTCAAGTCATTAATGAGTCATAATGGTAAGACGGAGACAAAAAAACAAGAAAGATATTTGGATAGGTGAGACAAATCGTTTGAATTTCAGCAGCTTCTTTTAAATATTAGAGCAGTAATATCTAGAATTCTACTTTTTGTCTTCCTTACTTTAAATTGCTTTCTGTTTTTTGTTGAAGAAGCACTGGAAAAGGCAGCAGGAGACAAGCAGATATATGTGAACATTTCACCCATTTCTAACTAGTTCCTCCTGTTGCAAACAATTCTGTTCATAATGTAATCAAAAGAGAAAGTTGTCACTATTGGTCTGTAGTTCTATGAAAAAAATGCATTAATTTATTTACATAAATCTAGAAATCTGAATAGTGCTGTTGACTCTAATTATTTGGTTTCACTGGAATCACTAACTTACTTGCAGGTGAACCCTATGCTAGTGTACTTTGCTAAACTGAGAGTTGAGGATTTATGGTTACTGAATAACATGCAATGAGATCAAGAATGTTTGCCATGTATTAGAAAACTAACAAAAACAAAGTATAGGAACTCAGCTGTGGAATTCTGGTGTTCTTTATACATTAAAAAATTCAGTACAATGTTTGTTCTCATTTATTCTCAGCATGTAGGTTGTGATAATATTTTGGGGTCTGATGCAAAGGAAGATAGATGTCGTGTTTGTGGAGGAGATGGGAGTACGTGTGAAGCCATTGAAGGTTTCTTCAATGATTCATTGCCCAGAGGAGGTATGTGTATATACATCCATTCTGTTGTACAATGTATTTGATGTCTATTTTGCAAAT